TCTTCCGACCTTGTTGCCTTTGGAGGGCCCCTTGCGGCCGCCGCTGCGAAGCGCCTCGTCGGTAAGCTCCTTGGCAAGGTCGAGCCAGTTAGCATGGTGCACGCCAGAGGTGTACCGTCGCTGCGCCTGGTGCAAGAACTCGTTGGTGGACGAGAACTGGGCCAGGGGAAGCAGCTCCGCGGCCGGCGCCAGCCCGTGCGGGTAGAAGCGGAACCTCGGCTCCGCCTTCGCCTCGTTGATCGCAGTGCCCGGGCTCACCACCTCCCGGCACACGACCTGCGTCCGCCAGCTCCGCTGGCACTTGTCGGTGAGGTCGTGTCTGCTGACGAGCTGCGTGTGCGCCTCTCGCAGCTCGTCGAAACACTCTCCGGGCGCGGTCGAGACGTCGAGATCGGCGAAGGGCCTGTGTATCGATCGTCAAGGCGTCGCTACGCGCGGTCTTCCGCGGGCGCGAGGGTGCGCGAGGGTGCGCGAGGGTGCGCGATTATTAGGCGATATTAGGCGATACTCGGCGATATTAGGCGACACTCCGGGCGATCATTCACGATACACCGAAAATTTCCGCTAGACTAGGGGTGTTGTGCGCAGCCACTCTTTCAACACACAACACTCACAACAGCCATTGCGCGCTAAATGAGCATGACAGGCGCCCTCTCACCGACGCGTGTCATACGCGGGCGCCGCTCAGTGCAAGGGCTCGACCTCCACGACAGTGAAGGTTAGGGACGCGACAAGGAGAGTTCTCTTGCCCTCAGTAGCTGCTTGAATGTCCTTGTTGGTGATCTCGACCTCGACCCTCTTGCCAGTGGGTCGCAAGAAAGTCAGCGGCTGGTAGAGGTACTCAGCTTCGACAGGGAACGCAGAGAGAAACCTCAGGTCTGCGCCGCGCTGCATGAAGGATGTTGTGACCAAGCGGAAGAGGAGCGGCCGAGTACTCATCGAGTACTCAACGGCGACCGAGAGATCTTTAGTCGTGCTCATCGGGGCCACCTCCTGTATGGCAGGGAAAGGTAGGATGGAGATGAGCAGGGTTAGCACATAGAGGCAGCAGACACGTGGTTCTTATGTGGTGGTGCTGACCGTCCCGCCGTCCTTGAGGAAGTTGCACTTGTTGTCGTCAAGGCCAATGTTCTGCATGCCGCGCCAGAAGTCTAGCCGCGCCAGCCCACCCTCCTCGGCGCCCACGGCGCGCAGCTTGCTGATTCCCTCGTTGATGTAGTGTACTGTGATTGGGAACGGGTGGGTTGGCCTGTCGGGGTCGGGGTCGCGAAAGGGCCCGTTCACTCGCGCGAAAGCTGCTGTTGTGTACAAGCGCAGCGCGAAGACATGCGCGACGTGCAGCTTTGCGGTCCGAGCCGAGGGGTGATTGCAAAAGTCCTCGAGGTCCATTCCCTCCCCGCGAGCGGTGATGCGATTGCTGAGGACATTCCCGCTCGAGTCGCAATCGCGCTTCAAGCTGCCGTTGGCGAACGTCTTCTCGCTGCTGCCAGCCTTCTCGCGCTCGACATAAAGCACGCACCTGTTGCCGAAAGCAAACGCCTCGGATTGGCATCATGTTCGTGTTCCAGGGGGGGGGGGGGGGGAGGGGGCGTACTCCATGTCCGAGGCGGCATGTCCGAGCCGCTGCCTGAGCTTCTCGATCTCTTCGTCCGCCTCGCCCCTCTCGACCGCGCTGTCGTACTCCATCTGAGCCGACTTGTGCGCCTCCAAAAACTCTTGCTTAATGCGCCGCACGCCTTCTCCCACCTTGCCAATCTCAAAGTCGATGCCCACCTTCATGAATTCGTTCACCCCCTTGGCTGCGTCCGCTGCGTCTCCAGTTTTAAGATGCCTGACGTCGCCTGTCAGCTTGTTCTCTACATCGACTGCAGTCGATTGTTGCTCGGCATGATCAACCGCCGCGATTTCATTGCTGTCGGAGCGAGCGAGCACCTGAAGATCACAAGTCGATGTACTCTGGTTGAGGGCAGTGTAGGACGTGAGGGTGGGCGACGGGAAGCGGTACTTGAGCTCTGGCGGGTAATATTGCGCGGGGGTGTATTGCGCGGGGGTGTATGCGCTGGGAGAACACACCGTAACGGGGAGTTCGCTAACGATCTTGGCGAGCTTGGCCTTCAGACTACTGCCGTCGTGGAGGAGAAGGTCACCGCTGTGTGAGATCCGTCGAACGTAGAACTCGGCGTGAAGGAGAGCAAAGGCCAAGATCCAGCAGATTATATCAAAGCCAATGACTTCTAATCCGCCATACAGTCCAACCTTCGACCAGCCAACCGACGGTGCAACCAGCATTGAAAGGAGGTAAAAAGGCAGGTACGGTAAAGTGCCGATGCTCGCCAGGATGATAGCACCCTTCATACGCCCGGTCCCTCGAGCAGCCCAGTTGCTCCAAGTGATCTCAGCATCGACGCCCACGAGCATCTCACGGAAAGCAACGACAAAGAGCAGCACTGTATTGAAGGGGAGCCCCCCGCACAACCGGCCGAACATGTGCAATACCAGGCCAGATGCACGGCACGCTGCGAGAGCGGAGGTGTAGACGAGGCCCGAACCTGATCTATACTCGTCGTTGCAGACCCACACGGCGCCGCCCACAGCGAGCGGATATGCCGGTTCGATGGCTGTGTTCACCTGCCAGCCTTCAGTCCAAATGCCCGCCGCCGCCAAATCGACCGCCAAATGACAGTTCTCTGCCGTGTAGTTTGATCCGAGGTCGATGCAAGCATCAAAGTTTTCGAGATACCCAACGGGTGTGACTGGTAGGATGTAGAGGTCCTCCCAGAACACAAATGCAAAAACCGAGCACTGCAGTGCAATTGTCGCCAGCAGAGTCGGTGCTCTCGCATAGAAGTAAGCCAAAGCGTTTCCTCTCTCGCGACACACAAGCCCCTCGCGCAGCGAACGGAACGCAGTGTGCATCAGTAAGACGACTGTCACGAGCAGAGTGACAAGCAGGCAGAACCAGACCTTTGTCGAAACCCAGTCGAACGTCGGAAAGTAGTACGTGAGGATCAGCGCCACAACAGCCAAGCATCCTGTCGGCAATATCAGCTTTTCCGCAGTGCTAGTCGTACGGGCTCTTGCACGAGCGTCATCCAGGCCCTCCCGCGTACTCCATTTCTCCGCTGGGGTCTCAGAAGCAGTCTTGGAGGCGCTGTACATGGCCTCGATAAGCGCCGCGGTGAATGGGATTGGCGCGGCGACGATCCACGCGGATATAAAGTTCTGTGACAGAGCCAGTCGCACGGAAAGCGGATCGACCAGCCAATGATCCATCGGAACTTGCGTGGAAAAGCTTACGAGCATGGCGGTCAGGATGGCGAGCGACGGCAACGTCGTCAAGAAGATTGCGGCTGGGTATGACTCGCGGCTGCGCTTCTTCGCCATTAGCGGTGATGTGGCTGTGAGGTCCTCGATCGCAATCGCGACCGCGCCAGCATCTGGTCGACGTACGCTGCTAGCATCGGTCGGCCGTGCCATACACCTTGGCTGCAACCTCGCACTCCTTGTTTTAGGCGCTGCCCATGAACTGTATCGTCGTCGTCGTCTCTAGCCAGTCACTCTAACTCTCAGAGATGGGCTAAAGAGGATCCGGAGCGCGGTAAGACTCTGGGGCTCTCTCCGAAGGGAGCGTAGCGTACGCGGAGGGAGCTCAGAGTTACCCCGTTCTCTGGAACCTCTTGGAGCAAGAGGAACTCGCAAGAGACGAATGCGATTCGATCGGGCGGTAGATGAGGGATGGTGGTGGGTCGCTTGAGAACTGGTCGATTGGCGTCTGTCTGAGCAGGAGCCGACGCTAGTCGGGAGCTGTGTCAGGAGCCTCGTGGCGCTCGGAGGTCCCGCGCACAAAGCGGCGGGCAGCGGCGGGCGCGGGGGTAAGGGTTCCCGCCCGCTAGGCGCTGCCCTCTGCGCCGAGGCTCGACCCGCTTCTCCTCAGTTCACTAGCACAAACTGAAGTTTGTTTATCATGAACTGTATCGTCGTCGTCGTCTCTAGCCAGTCACTCTAACTCTCAGAGATGGGCTAAAGAGGATCCGGAGCGCGGTAAGACTCTGGGGCTCTCTCCGAAGGGAGCGTAGCGTACGCGGAGGGAGCTCAGAGTTACCCAAATCACCGGAGCGAGGGAAGGAGCGATCCCGGGGTGAGCGACTCCGAAGCGTAGCGCAGCGCGTGAAGGATCCCCAAATTGAGTGAGTGACGGTCCTATTCGGTCTCGCCCTCCGAGCTCGGGGATGGGGCGGCTCAGTGCGCGAAGCGGCACTGGTCCCCCTGCCTGCAATAGCCGGCAGCGAAGAAGCGGCACCGGGGGACTCCGGTCTGCTCGCTCGTGGAGTCGTCGCGAGCGCTGTCGGTGTCGCAGTCGCCCGACTCGGAGTCGTCAGGCTGGCTGCCGGACTGGTCGTAGCGCGGTGCTTCCAATGTTGTCCTGCTTGTCGATCTGTGCGCTGCACCGAAGTAGCAGGTCGACCACCCGCTCGTGGCCGTCGTAGGCAGCGAGCATCAGCGCGGTGGCGCCGTCGCTGCTCTGCAGGTTGTTGAGCGCCGTGCTCCAGCAGCAAGGCACAGCCACCCGCTCGTGGCCTTGGCCGGCGGCGTCCATCAGCAGGGTAACGCCGATTACTTCGCCATTCTCGCGCGTGGCGTTTGCTCGCCCGCCTCTCTCGAGCCACGAGCGCACCGCCGCTTCGTCGCCTCGCAACACTGCATCGTCGCCCGCCTTGCATCGACATGCATCAGCCAGAGGCGCCTCACGTCGCAGTGCTCGTGGCTCGAGAGAGGCGGGCAACAGAGGGTAGGGGTGGGGAAGACGGCGAGGAGGGGGCGGCGGCGGCGGCGGCGGCAGCGCGCGCGCGGCGCTCGCGACGGAGGGGCGGAGCAGCGACCGCTGGCGCGGGCGCTGCTCCGTCTGTGCCAGGGACGCACGCTCTGCGCCGCTGCACAGAGCCGCGCGTCCGGCAAGGGGGGGCAAGCGTGGCGGCGCGGGACGCGCGGCGGCGGCGGCGAGCAGCCGAGCGCTCGCCTCTGAGCGGGAGCCGAAGGTTTGCTGCGGTGGTGGTGGTGGTGGGGTGGTTTTGACTTTGCCGCAGAGGCCGTCCCTAGCTGAGTAGCTGTGAACAGCAAAAACGGGACAGTATCAAGGCAAAGAATGCCGTGTGAATGGAGGTTGGGAGGATGGAGCCCAGTCCCCAGAGCGCAGAGGTGAGCTCATACACACGCACACCGCCGCGCGCGCCGCATGCAAGATGCATCCGCACACACGCGCGGTTGTCTTGCTGAGCACACAACTACGGCCCTTGTCAGCTGTCTGCTTTGACTCCACCCTCAACGTGCCGCCGCAAGTCCCCCCGCCGCCACTTCCGGCTGCAGCACGCCCTCACACCCCAGCTCGGTCAGCTTCTTGAAGGCGGCGCCAAACTCGCGCGCGAGCATCGCCTGCCCGTTCGGCAGCTCGACGAGTGAGGCGGCGCCTCCCTCCCGCACGGTTGCCCTCACCTCTCCTCTCTTTCTCCTGCCTCGACGCGCTCGTCTGCGGCGTATGTGCCGGCTGTGCCTCGGCTGTGTCTCGGCTGCATCTCGGCTGCATCTCGGCTGCATCTCGGCTGTATCTCGGCTGCGTCTCGGCTGCATCTCGGCTCCATCTGGGCGCCTCGTCTGCGGCAAACGCCTCGAGGTGCACGCGGAAGTCCGGGTCCCACGCCAAAGCCATGTCCGACAGCAGCATCATTTGGTTGGCGTCGTCACCGCCCGTCCCGAGCGGACACTTGTTGACGTACTGCCGGTTGCCTAGGAAGTGTCTCGGAAGTGTCTCGGAAGTGTCTCGGAAGTGGCACTTGTTGACGTACTGCCGGTTGCCCGCCGCCGGCCTCAGCTCGGCCGCCCCCATGTCGTCGAGCCACGTGTCCTCGTGGCCGACCAGCCTAATGAATGAACTAGTTGTAACTAGTTATGAATTAAGCCACGTGTCCTCGTGGCCGACGAGCCAGGGCTCGCGTCATCTCGGGTAATCTCGGGTAATCAGCCTGAAGAAGAGCTACGCGGTAGAGAGGGAGGGAGAGCAGCCACGTGCCCGAGGCTAGGCCAACCTTCTGGGCTGGATCTCGGCTGCCTCTCGGCTGCCTCTCGGCTGCCTCTCGGCTGCCTCTCGGCTGCCTCTCGGCTGCACCTCGGCTGCCTCTCGGCTGCCTCTCGGCTGCCTCTCGGCTGCCTCTCGGCTGCCTCTCGGCTGCCTCTCGGCTGCCTCTCGGCTGGGTCTCGGCTCCCTCTCGGCTCCCTCTCGGCTCCCTCTCTGTTGCATCAGTGGCCTCCACTCGTCCTCGAGCATGTCCGTCGCGTACTCGTTCGAGAAGCGAGTGGGGTGCTCCACCCACGCGCCTGAGCAGCGACGGAGTACACACATGACTCCGCCGTGCGAGGAGCGGGTGAAGAGAATACAACCCCACCGCCCGCGCGCCCGCGTAGCCAGACGATCCGCGGTGGCACCTCCCGTACACGTGGCCGCCTAATTAAGTAACTTAATTCGTAAGTAATTGACTATCCCATTAAGCCCCGCCCGTACACGTGGCCGCCGCAGAGCAGCGCCACGATCTCTCGGTCGCCGAAGCCCATCCGGTAAAAGACCTACCACCACAGAGCCCGGTCCCACGTGAGACGACGGCCAACCACAGCCGCGCCTCCGGCCGGCGAAATGACTTCATCGCGGATGTGGCCGCACAGCTTCTGCCAGCCCGACGGCCTAAGAGAGCGGACACCCGACGAGCCGAGCAGAGGTGTGAACGGCGCCTCTTCACGGCTCCTCGTCACACGCGCCGCCTCGGCAGAGTGAGGGATGAACTCAGCGATTACTTGAGCAACTCAGCCGGACACGCCTGCCCGCCGCGTCGGCAGAGTCGTACGCGACGTACTTCTCGGCGCCAGGCAGCCTGCCGTGCCCTCCCCGCGGCATCGGGTTGCACCAGCCGCCAGCGAGCAGCTCGTGCTCGCCCTCCCAGTCGACCCGGCCGGGCCGAAAGGCAATCGACGGCCCTCCTGTTCACACGCCGAGCTGTGAACGGCGCCTCTTCACGGCTCCTCTTCACAGCGCGCGCCGGCGCGCCCGTGTGCTCGATGCCCACATACGCAGCCAGGACCCACAAGTCGCTGTAGGAGATGCCTGGAAACTTCCTCTTGACGGGCTCGAGGAAGGCGCGAGCCTTCGAAGGGCGGGCCGCGGCGCGTCGAGGGGAAGAAGAAGCTGTGCAGCAGTGTCTCCCGCCCACCTCCCGCCCACCTCCCGCCCACCTCCCGCCCCACCTCCCGCCCATCTCCCGCCCATCTCCCGCCCATCTCCGAGCAAGGCGCGCCGTGTGCAGCCCCGCATTCTCGCAGTCGGACGCCTCGGCATCAAAGCGCATCCCCGCGCCGTTTGAGCCGCCCGTGCCGCTCGCCTTGTCGCACGTATTAGAAAGGGTATTCTAGTATCGTTGTTGTACTGTTGTTGCTGACCGTCGCCTTGTGCGTGCCGCGATCACCCGAGATCAAGCCGAGATTCCCCGAGATTGTGCCTCGCCTTGTCGTACGTGCCGCTGGAGTGCCAGGCGAGGCGGATCAGGACCGGCGCGAGCGAGCCTAGGGTCAGGGTTTGGGTTAGGCGAGGGTCGGATGCAGCGAAGCGGAGCCAGATCTCGGCTAGATCTCGGCCGCATCTCGGCTAGATCTCGCCATCGTCCCATGATGGGTTGTCCATAAGCAGAGCGAGCTCGCGACGAATGTCCGCAAAGTACGCGTCGGCGAGCTCCGCGTACGGGCTGCCGGAGGCTGGCGCGGTGGCAGGAGCTACCTTCGAGACTGCCGCACTTCTGGGCTCGCACACTCCGGACTTGTGGCTGTCGCTGAAGCCTCCTCGCTTTGCGAGGTACTCGGCGAAGCTCTCAGCCTTGTGTATCGCTTGCTGCTTACCCTTGGGATCGCTCGGGTCGTAAACTGTTGGTGGCGGATCCCTTGTCGCTTCGCCACCGCCGAAGCCTTTGCCGCCGTGCTGCATCGTGACGCTGCGCGGCGACGCTGCGTAGCGTGCAACGTGAGTCACTGGAGTTGACGAGGACAGCCGGAGGCTCGAAAAGCCGGTGACGGTTAGCAGCAGAAGCATCATGGGCGCGACGATCGGCCAGCGAACCACCGCGGCCCCGGCCACACGGAGATGAGTGAAGTGTCTGAACGATATCGGTGTCGAAACACCGCTCTGACAGCGCTCACAGCTGCAGACCGCGAGATCTATCTCGAGGTCTCTTGGAGCAGAACAGAGCCCCCCCCCCCCCCAAAGCCCATACTGGCCCCTCGAGGGGTACCCTGGGTGGGCGGGGCCTCTACTCGCCAGGGGTCAAAGCACCCGGGTCTTCACATCAGCCCCCCTGACGCGGCCTCGGGTGGCGTGCGTGTGTGTGTGTCGGTCGGTGTGTGGGTGGGTGGCTAGCTCGACTAAGTAGAGCATCGAGGTTGATATCCTTTGGCCACGTTGGCAGCGAGGATTGGTGTGAGGCCGTTTTTTTGCCGTCGTATGCCGCCGGGGGACCGGCCGCGTGTATATGGTGTCCGTGTCCGCGACTCCGCGTATGTCTCGCGAGCCGCGTGTGTGCCTGTCGCCCCGCGTGTGGAGAGCACATCCAACCAGCCTTGAAAACGGAATAAAAGCGGGGGAATGGCCGAGTACTCGCTACGCTAACGCTGGTGCTCGCGGTGCTGCTCGCCGGATTCGCCGCGCAGCGCTCACCGCGATGGCAGCGGCCAGCAGCAGCAGGGCCACCACTAGCGTCGTCCCCGCAGCAGGAGCGTGGCCGCGGGCGTCCTCCAGCGCCGGCGCGGGCTCCGTTTGCTCTGCGGGCGAGGAGAAGCCTTGCGAAAAGGCTTGCCAGCTCTGCATCATGGCCTCGGCGGCGATGTGGGCAGTCTTGTTCAAGCGAGCGTTCAACTTGTCAAAGTGAATCACAACGGGCGATCGCGGCGACGCCGGCGGCGACGGCGGCTGCATCGAGAGCCCCGCGATCCAGTTTACGCTGCGAGCAAAGGGGTCGAAATCGTGCTCGTCGGAAAAGCGTATCGACTGGAGAAGAGAGTAGGACGAGGCTTGGTCGATGACCTGCGAGAGCTGATCGGAGAGGGTCTCGGCGTCTTCGAGACGGAAGCGCCAGTCATGCCTCGTGCCGCCAAGGATTGGCGTCGGGATGGGCTCTTCGTAGCTGTGGACGCCGTCGTCGGCGCGGCACATGTAGTGTGAGATACCGGCGGCCGAGGCGGCATGGACTCGCTCCCACAGCTCGTAGCGCGTGGCGTTGCTCACCCGCTGCTCGCGGCAGATGCGCTGCCACAAGTAGAACGACTGGCGCGGCGTGCGCGTCAAGTTCACGGTCGAACGGTTCACCGCGACGAGCCCAAACTTGGGGCAGTACCCGTCCGCCCACTCCCAGTTGTCTGAGAGCGTCCAGTGGATGTACCCTCGCACCCGGATGCCCGCCTTGCGCGCCGCTGCGATTGCGGCCAGGTGCTCGACGATGTAGGACCCACGCAAAATGTCCGTCGAGTCGGCGATGCCATTCTCAGTGATGATGTAGCCATAGCCTCCTGCGCTTTTGGGAGGGGTGCGAGCCTCGAAGAGCGCGTCGGGGTCGTCCTTGTAGCGGACGTGGAATGCGTTACCCGGATAGTACCGGCGTCCGGCCTCCTCGTACTGCAATACTGCGAGAGGGGCGGCACAATACTGCCATACCTCCCACACACAAGTGTCGAAGTATGGCGAAGCATGCATACTTCAATACCACAGACTTCGCCGCTTGTACGCGGATACTGCAGATACTGCAGATACTGCAGATACTGCAGATACTGCAGATACTGCAGATACTGCAGATACTGCAGATACTGCAGATACTGCAGATACTGCAGATACTGCAGATACTGCAGATACTGCAGATACTGCAGATACTGCAGATACTGCAGATACTGCAGATACTGCAGATACTGCAGATACTGCAGATACTGCAGAAAGATACGGGTGGGTGCCGATTGCGCTATACAACAGCGGCTGCGGCACCCCTCAGCCTCGGTGGAACAGCTGCCAAAAGCAGAATATGCACTATTACGAGGGGGGTGTGGCATCTCTTGCGAGCGAGTCTCGCGAGGGGCGCCTACTAACCTCGCTTGCGTGGGGCGTGTGGCATGTCTTGCGGGCTCGTGAGGGGCGCCTGCCAACCTCGCTTCATCGAAGCGGCGCTTCGTACACACAACCACCCTGCCGCAACCGTCGCCGGCGCGCGACACGTTCCCGTCGGCCGGACTGTCCTCGTCGAGTGTGTGTCGCCAACCAAGGCGGGACGCACTCAGGGACGGTGCCGACGGGACGTGAGCCACGGTTGCGTGCAGACATGATTGCGTCACCTGGTGGGTCGCGGCGACACACGCGCTCAGGAGTGCAAGCTTCAACTTTGCAGGCATTGGCCGCCGCTGCCGGTACAGTGCATCCTGGCAGAGCCAGCGCGGCGGCGGCAGATCTGGGCTGCGAGGGTGGTGCTGCCACACCCCACCCACCTGTTGCCACAGACGACCCAGATACCGCGGATACCGCGGATACTGCAGATACTGCAGATATTGCAGATACCGCAGATACTGCAGATACTGCAGATACTGCAGATACTGCAGATACTGCAGATACTGCAGATACTGGAGCGCGCCCCCGAGATACCTGGGTACTTGGGGGGGTTGCGGGACCACGTAAGGAGTGGTATCCCTGTACCCATACTTGCGGGTGTGACCGCCGCTACCTGTGTACTTGAGACGAGTTGCAACATACTGCCATATGTGCGTCTCAAACTCCCCATACATACCAGCATACGTCTAGCTTGCGTGTACGAAGTATCTTTAAGTACCAGCGTATGCCTACCTGGCGCAACAGCAGGATTTACCTGCCTACCCCGAAGATGGAAATAGATACCCCGATACGTTCATACCTCACGCATACCCTACTTCCCCCCGTCCCACTGAAGAAACCGCGAAGGTTCAGCGGCGCGACCAGCCGCTACGACAGCCAGTACGAGCATATCTCGTGGTCGTCAATCAACCTAAGATGTGACAAGAGATTACTTGCTTCTTGCTTTTCTTCTCTTTTTTTCTTCTTTTTTCGTTT